TTTGAAGAGTTTTTGGGCCGCACCCTCCCCTGTTTAAACTTGAACACTATCCGATGCTAAATCAACATTACAGGGTAGAACAACTTTGTTTTTAGGAGCGTGGACTGATGAGTCAGACAACTAGGTATTAAGGCCTGTTGTGAGGCACATACCAGCTAGGCGACTTCAGCTTTTCTGAACCTCAGTTTCCTCATCTGCAAAATGGGAAGAGTAACACCTACTTCACGAGCTGTTTCGAGAATGAGCGCAAGAATTTACGTAAACCACGCAGTTCAAGGCTCATTGAGAGTTAATTCTAAGTAATGGGAACCCTGGAAAAGCGGAGAAAAATAGGAACCCTAGTAGAAAGCGGAGCTTGTCTCCAGGTGTGACCCAGCAGACAAGAGAGCGAGGACCCGCCCGGCGCCCACCGCCACAGCAGCCCGCCCTTACCGCTTTTGGGTTTAGACTCTCCAGCCGGCCCAGCCGAGGCGGAGCGGGGCGGCTGTTGCCCTTTGCTGCTGCCCGAAGAGGCGGAGGAGCTGCTGGAGCCGCTGTTCTTGTCCATGTCGGAGGCGGTGGCGGCGGCGTTGGGGGAGCTCTGCGGCATCAACTGGGGCCTCGGCGGCGGCGGCAGCGGTAGGAGCGGAGCGGGCGCGGCAGGGACCCAGGCTCATGGCGTTCGGGGCCGGCGGGGGACGGCGGCGGCAGCGGTTCTCGGTCTTCATGGCGACATTTTTCCTTGTTTCCTTACTCGGCTTCTCAAATTGGGAAGAGAAGCGGAGGGCGGGGCGGTCGAACCCGCTGGCGGCAGTGACCGAGACGGAGAAGAAGGCCGGGGCTCGGAGGTCCGGGCCGGGCCTGGCGGGGCGGAGGCTGCGGGGAACAGGGAGGCGAGGGTGGGTGCGCGAGCCCCGCCGGCCGGCCGGCCGGACACGCTCTCCCGCCGCGGAGCAGGGGAGAGGGCTGGCTGTCTCGGTGTCGGGGACTGGTGTCTCCGACACAGCGACCGACACTCGCCTCAGGGCCGAGGCCGAGAAGCTCCTGGAATGGCGACGAGTCGCCAAACAGCATCTCGAAGAACCCGGATGGACTATATATATGGCGGAGATGTGGAAGTGAAGCACTCTGGGAAGTGTGGTTTTCGGCCCTCATCCGGGTCCAGTAATTTCACCACCGACAGTGTGTGAGGGCCTATAGCATGATGGGACTTGTAGTCCAGGCCTTAATCATAGCACGCTAGTAATATGTAATAATAAATACTATTACTAATAACCAATCCAAATATTGGAATACCTGTGGAATTTCTTTATTGATTCATTGTTTAATGTATAATTCTTGTGCTAGAATTAATATCAACTTACTCATGGCTCAATTTATTCGTGGCTCTTATTCTATCACCTAGTAACTATAATAGCAACAATAACCGCAAAACCTTACATTTAATATCACTTTACAATACTTCTTCATACAATACTTCATTTAATTGTTAATAAGTCATTTATTAATATAAATCACTGTTAATATTTCAGTTCATTAATAATAGTTGTCATTCAGTACTTATTATTAGCAAGCACTATGCTGTGCAATTTATAAGTTTATGCCACACTTAATCTTTACAATAACTCGAATTTAAAGACAAGGAAATGGTCTTTAAAAGCTTAGATTATTTAAGCCCTGGCTGGTGTAGCTCAGTGGATTGAGCACAGGCCTGCGAACCCGAGGATCTCGGTTCGATTCCCAGTTAGAGCATACTCCTGGGTTGTGTACCAGTTCCCTGCAGGCCAGTTCCCAGCAGGGGATGCACGAAAGGCAACCATACATTGATGTTTCTCTCCCTCTCTCCTTCCCCTCTAAAGATAAGTAAATAAATAAAATCTTTAAAGAAAAAAAAAAAAGCTTAGGTCATTTACCCACGACCACACAGCTAATAAGTTATGCTCTCAACTACGAGATAAGTAGTTCCCCATTTTACAGATATGGTTACAGATATGGCAACTAAGATGGAAAATCACATATGTATTTTTGTAATTGCATCGCATCCATCCTTACTTTGTAAAATTATAAATGATGCCCTTCAACCAAAGCAATTTGAAATTCAAAGGATCACATACACACACTGTTAGAGATAAATAATTCTCAGACTAACTTTTTTTAAAGATTTTATTTATTTATCTTTAGAGGGGAAGGAGAGAAACATCAATGTATGGTTGCCTCTAGTGCTTCCCCTGCTGGGAAATAGCCTGCAGGGAACTGGCCTGCAACCCAGGCATGTGCCCTTGACTGGCAATCGAACCTCAATCCTCTGGTTCATAGGCCTGTGCTCAGTCCACTGAGCTACACCAGCCAGGGCTCAGAGTAACTTTAATTAGAAACCTGCTGTAAGCCAGGCACTGTGCTAAGCACAGGGAATGCCAAACAACATTAAAATTGAGGCTTTTAGTATACTCCTAGTTTCCTAAGTTAGTTAAGCAAATGAACAGCAGGTATGCTGGCACTCAGGAGAAAGCCATATTCAGTTCGAGCCTAAAGATCGTGAAGCCCAATGAGGAGAAGCCGGATGAGCTGGAATCTGGGATCTCTCAGGTTCTCCTTGAGCTGGAAATGAACTTGGACCTCAAGGCCCAGCTAAGGGAGCTGAATATAAAGGCTGCCAAGGAAATTGTAGTTGGTGGTGGTCAGAAAACCATTATAATCTTTGTTTCCATTACTCACCTAAAATCTTTCCGGAAAATTCAACTCCATGGGATAAAAGAAATACAATAAAGATTAAATAAAAAATAAAATAAAATGAGATGGATTGCAAAAAAAATAAAAAGAAAATCCATGTCTGGCTAGTGTGTGCATTGAAAAAAAAAGTTCAGTGGGTAGTACGTTGTCTTTATTGCTCAAGAGTTACCTAAGTCAACTTGAAAAAGCCTACAAAATTAAGCAAAAACATCCCAGGAATTGCAAGAGAATCATGGTGAAACTGGGCGGAGGCCAGCTCATAAAAGTTCATTTGGCTAAAACACTGCAGAACGGTAGGGGATGAAAGGTTGAAACATTTTCTGGTATCTATAAGAAGCATAGGGACAAGGATTGAGTTTTGAATTCCTAGAGTTCCAGTTGTAAACAAAAATGACTGAATACTATATCATTCACATGAAGAAAAAAAAACTACAATGGAAGATTGTGATAAAGGCTATAATAAAGCTAATATAAAATGCTGTCCAGAGGAACAGTTGGGAGGAGTAAAAGAGGTCTTCCCACAGGTGGTGTCACTTGAGCTGAGTGGAATTTCATCAGTCAAATATGAACAAATAAGTAGAAAAAATCCTAGAATTCCCATACTTGGGCCCTTTTGGCACTTTATTAATCATCGCATGTTATACAAAACATTAATAAGTATATATAAGCCACTTTCTTGAAATTATGTTTTAACTGGGACAAAAAATTAGATACTAGTCTCATTTTTTAAAAAAGATTTATTTATTTTTAGAGAGAGGGAAAGGGAGGGACAAAGAGATGGAGAAAAGCATTAATGTGTAGTTGCTGCTCATACACCCCCAACTGGGCACCTGGACTGCAACCCAGGCATGTGCCCTGACTGGGAATCAAACCAGCAATCCTTTCGTTTATAGTCTGGCACTCAATCCACTGAGCTACACTCTGAGCTGCTCTCATACTTTTAAATTTCCTTAAAATGCCGTTTGCCAGTCCCTATCTTGGTTCAGCATATCAAATCCCCCCCCCAAAGACTGTACTAAAATGAGAGACTAGCTACTGTAAATTTCATTTGATATTTAGAAGGAACGGCCTCAAGTCCTAAGGTTCATTCTCATGTATGACTAGATTAGGACGATATACTAAGATTCCTTGATGAATTTTTATTTCCTTTAACAAAGATGTGAAAACTCTGATTTTAAAAAAAATTTTAAAAAATTTTTTTAAATTAAAAAAAACTGTGCTTGAAAAATAACTAAATAAATTTTTTTAAAATTTAAAAAAAGATGTGAAAACTCTGATTACATAAATGAATCATTCCTTCCATCGCTTGTAAAAATTAAAGACGGGAAAAGAGAAACCCCAGTGCAGTTTTTCCGAAAGAAAGTGGTAGGTGTCCACCCATCTGTCAGGCTACATTAAACCAGAAAGAAAATTTTCATTTTGAAAATAGTTTCTTAGGGTCCTTGGCGCTTTCTCCTTGTGAAATATTTACAGAAAACATGCATTTAAAAAAAGAATCGAAGAAACACACAGAAATCCAAGCAAAACTTACCACCTCCACCCTCTTTTCCGCAAGCTGGTCTACAATACATTACCCTTTCCATTTAAAAATTAAAAAACAAAACAACGGGGAAATCTGGGTTTGAAGTAAAACACCCATGCTATGCCAGTTGGAGCTACAAATGCAGCTGCGTGACAACAGGAGGGGAAGTGTGAGTGGTGATTTATTTTGACTTCCTAAGATACCAGAGCTTTTCTTTCCGATGTTTATTTTTCAGAGTCGTCTAGTATGCTCCTTAACAATGGTCTGCGAATTCCTCGCCTCAGAGTCACCCCAAAAGTTTGGTCAAATAAAGATTCCCAGAATCCGTTATCAGATTTACTGATTCAAAATCTCTGGTATTTGGGGCCTGGTAATCTGCATTTTAAAGATCAAACCAGGTTTTATGCACACCTCAGGTTGCGAGAATTAACCTGTAATTTTAGTCTTTTACCACACTCGACCTCAGTCCTCCTCCCCACTCCCCCATCCCCTGCTCTTCACCGTTTTCGTTATCTTGCAAGTTGGTACTGGTACTACTACTGGTTAGCAAGATTCACAGACATGGCCGCTGAGAGGTGAGTGGAGCCTCTCCCTAAGGTCACTCACTCCTGATGAATTCTGTGTTCAATTTGGGAAGATTCCGGATTCCTGAGACCATGCACTGATCCTTAATATCTGGTTTCAGGACGCGTTTGGTTAATGTCTCCGGCCGGCCGCCGTCGGCCGTCTGGTGATGCAACGTGACGTACTGTCTGGCGTCAGTCTCCCGACTGTCAAGATGGCGGCCCCCAGGAGTTGCGCTCTATGGGGCAACTGCGGCCGTGGGTGGTCGCGGTTGATGCGGGGCTGCCGACTCCCCGGGCTTCGTAGCTCCTGGCCTGGGAGCCCGCTGGTTGCGCGGCTCTTGTCCCAAGAGAAGCGGGCATCGGAAACGCACTTCGGGTTTGAGACTGTGTCGGAGGAAGAGAAGGGGGGCAAAGGTGAAAGGGGCGAGAGGGCGGATGGTGGGATCTGATCGTCTGCGATCTAGTTTATTCTGCTCGACTAATAGTTAACTTAACGTCCTGTTACGTTAGCTCCGGTGCTGTAGCTTGTGCATTCCTGACATCCAAGGAGTCCCCTAAGAGTGACCGTGTGAGTGCAGAGCTTGGACACCTCCTTATTAAGCAGAGCAGTTACCACTAAGTTCCATCAATTTAGTGTTTATAATGTGCCAGGCGCCCTGCAGACATTTCCAATTTTTATTTCAACGCCTTGATGGGGGATATTGTTTTCCCAATGTTACACATGAGGAAATTGAAATTTAAAAGTTAAGCAAGAACTTGTCCAGTTTAACATAATAAGGGGTGGAACCATTAAACCAGTATTCCGATCCAGTTTGGTCTGACTACACAGACCATGTTCTTTAACTCTTGCTAGAAGGATAGGTCTTTTTTTTTTTTTTTTTAATGGATTGGGGAGAGAAAGAAACATCGATTTGTTGTTCCACTTAGGCATTTATTCTTTGATGCTTGTATGTGCCCTGCCTGACTGGGGATGAGCCCACAACCCCCGTGTGTGGGAAGGATGCTCTAACCGTGTCCCACACGATCAGGGCAGGAAAGGGAAAAGGAAAGTATCTTCTCTACCTCAGCTTCCAAATTTTTCAACTAGGAATAATAGTAACCTTTTTAGAGTTCTTGTGAGGATTAAATTACTTCATACATTAAAATTTAAAATATTTTGAACCATGCCTGACACTTTATAATTGTTCGATAAATATTAGCTATTATTGAGAAGTTTCTTTGAACCCAGCACTGTGCCATAGGCACGGAAAAGAAAAAGAACAGCTTTAAAACTCCAAATGTAGCCCTAGCTGGTGTAGCTCAGTGAATTGAGTGTGGGCTTGGAACCAGAGAGTTGCCAGTTCAGTTCCCAGTCAGGGCACGTGCCTGAGTTGCAGGCCAGGCCCCAGTATGGGGAGCTTGAGGAGCAACCACACACTGATAGTTCTTTCCTCCTCTTTCTCCTTCTCTTCCCCTCTCTCTAAAAATAAGTAAATAAAATCTTTTTTAAAATAAAGGGAAAAAAACCTCCAAATGTACCATTTATAGTGGGGAACATGTTATGTCTATTTTACCAATGGGTAATGTGAGGCTCTGAGAGGTTCCTTCACTTAGCCTATGGCCACCCAGGAAATAAGAAAAAGTGTACAATATAATTTCCCATCCTCTTAAAGATTACTACAGTGTATTACCTCTCACCTCAACCATACTAAATGTGTAACTAACTTTACTGTAACTCTTTGAATATTGAATTTAAATTTATTTCACTGTGATTCCCTAGAAGGCTAGGACAGTGGCTCATTCATGTTTATCTTCTCAGTGTCTGATGCCCATTAGAAGTTTTATAACTTCTTGTAGAGTGATATAAATGGAGCCAAGTAAAACTAAGCCACAGTAACTGAAATTTATGCATATTGGAGTCATGTGAAGCTAGGGGTGCTTATACTCAGTGGGTTGAACCTTAGTACCCTTCAATTCCCCAAAAGATGTCCAAAAGCAAAAAGCAAGCCTGGAGATCCCAGGGTTGAGAATAGGCATTCAAGATCAAGTTAAAGGGGAATTCCAGGGTCGGCTGACTCAGCAGAGGGCAGTAGTGTTTGGGGTTTGCATTTCATCTGAGGAACTCAAAGCATCACCCCATCACTACCTAATTCAGCCTTAAGGCAGGGAGGGAAGGGGCTGCCAATGATTTTCTCTTCTTATGAGCAGAGGAACTAAAGTGCAAAGAACTTAAATGTAGGCTGTGCTTTAAAGTTTCTTGGATAGTAAATTCCTTCTCTTTCTTACTAGCCCAGATTCCACATTCTGCCTTGATTCTACCATGATTCATGAGGACCCTCTACAGTGTAACTTGCCCCTGATTCGCATCTTGCCATCCATCTGCCCACGATATTGTACCTGAGGCTTTTCTCAGTGATACAGGCAGAGGTGAGCTGAGGCCTTCCCATCCATTAGTCATATGTTTTTCTACCGGATTTTATTGTCTTTTACTATAATACCCATTAGAAAAACTTCCACCACCACCCCCTATCTTCTAAGAAACAGAAACCTATTTAGTACCAAGTTTGTACATGGCAATGACTCTAAGCCCTGGCCAGGTAGCAACCTCAGTTATGGTGTCTTCCTGATACGCCAAGGTTTCAGGTTTGATCCCCAGCCAGGACACATAGAAGAAGCAATGAATGCATAAATAAGTGGAACAACAAATCAATGTTTCTCTTTCTCTCTCACCCCCTTCCTCTCTCTCTGAAATCAATTTTTTTTAAGTAATGGTCCTAAAGATAACTAAGACAGTAGAAAGGTTGATTTCTGACATGAAGTAATACAAAGTTTTTAAAAGATGCAATATTAAGGTGTAGATTTGGGCATTAAGCATATGGCTTGAGTTCACCATGGAAAGACGGGCAATTTCAGGGATGGGCTTCCTTCTCTTTCACTTAGGAATTTTACCAAGTTAATTTTGTCAGCAACATAATTGTGTTCTATTTCTCTCATGTCAGTCTATCAGGTGTTTGAAAACGTGGCCAAGAAGTATGATGTGATGAATGATATGATGAGTCTTGGTATCCATCGTATTTGGAAGGATTTGCTGCTCTGGAGAATGCACCCATTTCCTGGGACCCAGCTCCTCGATGTTGCTGGAGGCACAGGTAATGACCATGTTCGTGTCCTCAGGTACCACTGAGCGCCTTTTACAGAAATTAGTGTCTCTTGTTGGAATGAGCTGCCCCACCTGCCATTAGCTCGAAGATGGTAGTTGAAAATCAGTAGACTTCAAAAAAGGGCTACTCTTCTCTTTGTGAATGTCAATCAGAAGCACAAAGTATCAGCTTTGTGCCTGTCACTTTTCTAAAATGCACAGAATTACAAAATAAAAAGACCAGTTTTTTTATTCCAGTGACATTTCATGATCTAAATGACTTTTGCCTTTTGTTTAACCTTTGACCCATTTTTCTTTCTTAGGGGGATGCCTCCTTTATTACTTGGTGCACACTAGACATTTGGGGAGAAAAATGTCATGCACTTCTAAAATACCTTGGTGATATTATTACGTGGTTAATGTACTTGTTAAGTTACTTTAGAGTGATGTATAATGTAATGCAATGATGTGATTATACCACTAGAATAATGGTTATACATACATTGTGTAATGATTATAAAATAGTGATTATACATACTAGAATAATGTATAATAAATTGTAGTAGAATAATCCCTATGTTTGAAATGAATGTGTGGCCTTTGTTGGTGTGGTCCACTCCCCAAGTAGAATCTTAGAAGGCAAGTAAAAAAATCTTGTTCAGTGGACAACAGTTTAGCAGAATCTTATCAAAATCTAAAATACTTCAAGTCTAAAAAAAAACAAAAAAAAACCCCAGAAAACTTGCCCTGACCTTTATGGCTCAGCTGGTTGGGTATCATTCTGTAAAGCAAAGGGTTACCAGTTTGATTCCCTGTCAGGGCACCTGCCTGGGTTGCGGGGTTCAGTCCTGGTAGAAGTGCATGTAAAAGGCAACCTAGCGATATTGTTTCTCTTTCACGTTGATGTTTTTCTCCCTTTCTTTCTCCCTCTAAGAAATTAAAATTTAAATTTAAAAAAACTTGCAAGAAGATAAAGCTACAGAAGGTATTCACTCAGAGCTGCCTACATCCCCAGTGTACCAGAACCAGAACTATTACTTCATGCTGGTAACTGCCCATTTACAAAAATGTAACTAACCCTGGCTGGTGTGGCTCAGTGGATTGAGCTCCAGACTGTGAACCAAAGGGTTGCAGGTTTGATTCCCAGTCAGGGCACATACCTGGGTTGTGGGCATAAGAAGCAACCACACATTGATGTTTCCCTCTCTTTCTCCTTCCCTTCCTCTCTCTCTAAAAATAGGTAAGTAAAATCTTTTTAAAAAATGTAATTAAAAGGTACTTCTATATATTTAAAAAGACATTTTAAAAAGATATAGCTATAAATATGTTCACTGCATTATTTTTAGTAAACTAAAAATTTAGAAATAACCTATTTATCCATCAATAAAGAAATAGCTTTAAATTAAAATATATCCATTCTATGAAATATGTAGCTATTTAAGAGAATGAGAGGTAGGAAAACCTATAAATACTAATGAGAAATCTCAAAGACATTAAATGGGAAAAAAAGAAAGTCATATAACAATGTATAATATGATCGGTCCCCATTTATATTTTTAAGTTGTTTCATATGAGTACATATAAATGTATTTAAATACATAAGAAAGCGACTGGAGAATACCAAATTGGATGCAGAGAGTGGAAAAACCTAAGGATGCATTTCTTTCTTTTTTTAAAGATGTTATGTATTTATTTTTAGAGAGAGGGGAAGGGGGAGAAAGAGGGAAAGAAACATCAATATGTGAGGGCTACATCAGCTGTTTCTTGTGCACTCCCCCACCGGGGACCTGGCCCATAACCCAGGCATGTGCCCCGACTGGGAACCAAGCCAGTGACCCCCCACGGTTCATAGGCCAGTACTGTATCCACTGAGCCACACCAGCCAGGGCAAGGATGCATATCTTGCAAATAGTATAAGAAAAACAAAGACAAGGAAACAGCATTATAAGAAAGGAAATGTCATCCCGGAAAGCACTGACTTGGCCTGAACAGTATTTGCCTGGTCACAGTAATTTGTTACCAGTTTTGACAGAGTCAAAGTACATAGGATGGAAGGTTTAAGGGAGTCAAGAGATACCATCTGTAGTGGATAGGATAAGAAATAAAATATTGACTAGTTTGTTACTCTAGGCTACAAAGGTATCTATGAAAAGTGATATGAATGTATTGAGAAGATAGAGGCAAGAAGAGATGGGGGCAGGATATCATTATAAACTTGGTAAGTAAAGAAATAGCTGTAACTTAACAGAAGAAAGAGACAAAAAAGTTGGGCCAGATGGTCTCTGGAGAACTGAACTGGGATTGAGAAATGTTGGGAGAGAGTTGTTGCTTGTAACTACACCCTTATGTTACGTTCATAAAAATTATTAGAAAAAGACTAGAAGGCTATACACTAAGCTTTTAATACTTGTCATAACAAGTATTATGCACTTGTTATGTAGGGAAGGTATGGACAGAGAATGCGACTTTTGTGTTTTGTTCTATATATTGAGATAGTGAATCTTTTTTTTTTTAAGATTTGATGTATTTATTTCTAGAGAGAGGGGAGGGGAGGGAGAAAGGGAGAGAAACATCAATGTGTGGTTGCCTCTTGCACGCCCCCTGCTGGGGACCTGGCTGTCAAGCCAGGAATGTGCCCTGGCTGGGAATCGAACTGGAGACCCCTCGGTTCACAGTCTGGCACTCAATCCTCAGAGCCACACCAGCCAGAGCAAGATATTGAGTCTTTTATGGTAAGAATTTGGCCATGTGTTACTTATACAATTTCTTTAAAGTTTTTGAAAGAATCCTAGAAGTTAAAAAAATAAGTTTCTATGGAGATGAGTACAAACTTCATTTTTGTATACTCCTCAACTTCTATACCTTTGTCACCCCTTTTGGATTTAGGAAATGAAAGGTTTTCTTAGGCTCCGCCGAGGAAAAAATACCAATCGGCCACAAAGTTAGGCAGTATAGAGCTTTATTGGGGTTTGCATGCCTAGGCGAGGTTCCCTGGTGTACGGAGTGGGGCCCAGGGAAGTCGAGCCCAAGCAGGGAATGTGGTGGGGTTTTATTCTGATTGGCTCTCTCCATGGGAGCTGGGGATTGGTCCCCTTTGAACAAAGCGGCTATATGTCATTGGTGGTTCTCCTGGCGCTCAGGTTGCTTATGCGGATAAAGCCTGCCCTTTTGGTTTGACCTCAGCCGTCTTTTCCGGGTTGTAGTTCAGCTGCCATTTGTCCTATCCAGCCCATCCTAACAGGAAACACTGGGTTTTTGTTCATGTTTATGTTTCTATCGTTCCCCCTTTGGCACAGGTGACATTGCATTCCGGTTCCTTAATTATGTTCAGGCACAGCATCGGAGAAAGCAGAAGAGGCAGTTAAGGGCCCGGCAAAATCTATCCTGGGAAGAAATCGCCCAACAGTACCAGAATGAAGAGGATTCCTTGGGCGGTTCCCACGTCATGGTCTGTGACATCAACAAGGAGATGCTGAAGGTTGGGAAGCAGAAAGCCCATGCTCAAGGATACAAAACTGGCAAGTCCCACAGCGAGCAGACACAGAGAAGTGTCTGTGCGTTTACCAAATGAGATGGAATATGGGGAATGTTGAAGTGCTTTATTGTCCTGCTTTTAAAAACTTAGGAGTTGCAGATCATTTGTGAGGGTGAATCTACCTTGTGTGGTTACATAGATTAGTTCAGCAACCCAGAGAATTAGATTGCCAGCCCAGCGTGAGAGGTGAGATGACCAAAGCCCCAAAGAGATTACGTTGTCTTATTCAAGTAACGTGACTTAAATGGCAGATCTCGCATTGGAGCTGAATCTTGGGATCTCGGCTCCTGGACCCTGAGACAGAAGTTTTGCTTTCACTTTCCAGCAACTCCACGGTGACCCCAAACGTCCTGTTCCTGAGCAGCTCCATTCCCCTGTCAGTACTAGGGTGGTTTGACTAATGGGGAAGCTGAGCAGGTGTGCTCCCCTTAATGAAGGGACGTGTCCTGCAGCCACAGGAGTATAGTTAGCTGACAGCCTCCAGCTCTTCGCACCTGCAGGTTCTGCCTCAGCCCGGAAAGCCAGGCTTTCATGACAGTGCCCAGTGGATGGCTGAGCAGTAGGAGGCTGCCAGGGCCTGGATGGTTCCCAGGAGGACTCTTGGGCAGCCGTGGGTCCAGAGCCCCTTGTTGGGTAGGCCGAGGCGTTATCCGATCAGCACCAAGGTCTGACAGGTTTCCCCACTCAGTCTTGCTTCCTCTTTCCTCTGTCTTCCCTGGGTGCCCCTAACCCCAAAATAAAACAACCCTTTGCACTCCGTCTGAGCACCAGTTTCTCAGAAGCCCCAACTGATACAGTTGAAGAAACACCTGTAAACAGTACAGCAGGTCCTAGAATAATGTTTTTTGTTAACATTGTTTTGTTTAAACGTTGATGAGAACAAAATATTTTGAGTCCTGGCCAGGACCACCGTCTGTGGAGTTGCTGTGTTTCCTTACAGCCTGGGCCAGGCTCCAGCCACCTGCAGCCCTGAACTGGTGTAATCAGGGTGGAAAATCATTATCTGATTTGTTTTTATTAGTCTGTCTGTTTTTGTTTTTGTTTTCAGCAAAACTATTCTTTTGTTTTTGTTTTTTTTTAATTTTTTAATTTTATTGATTATGCCATTACAGTTGTTCTATTCCCCCCTTCATTCCCCTCCACCCTGCAGCCCCCCACCCCCACCATTCCTCCCCTTTAGTTTATGACCACATGTCTCAAGTTCTTTATTCTATATTTCCCCTTCTATTCTTGCCCTCCCCCCTATCTATTTTCTACCTACCATCTATGCTACTTATTTTCTGTACCTTCTGCCCCCTTCTCCTCCTCCCACTCCCCTGTTGCTAACCCTCCTTGAGATCTTCATTTCTATGTTTCTGCTCCTGATCTAGCTGTCCTCTTAGTTTGCTTTTGTGTTAGGTGTGGTTCTTAATAACTGTGAGTTTGCTGTCCTTTCTCTGGTCACATTTTGTATCTTATTCTTAGATAAGTCCCTTTAACATTTCATATAATAAGGGCTTGGTGATGAGGAACTCCTTGAATTTGATCTTATCTGAGAAGCACTTTATCTGTCCTTCCATTCTAAATGAAAGCTTTGCTGGATAGAGCAGTCTTGGTTGTGGGTCTTTGGTTTTCATGACTTGGAATACTTCTTTCCAGCTCCTTCTTGCCTGTAAGGTCTGATGGGAACTCCTTTGTAGGTGACAGTCCCCTTGTCTCTTGCTGCTTCTAGGATTCTCTCCTTCATTTGAATCTTGACTAATGTAATAATGATGTGCCTTGGTGTGTTCCTTCTTGGGTCCAACTTCTTTGGGACTCTCTGAGCTTCCTGGATTTCCTGGAAGTCTATTGCCTTTGCCAGATTGGGGAAGTTCTCCTTTATTATTTGTTCAAATAAGTTTTACACTAGTGGCTGTTCCTCTTCCCCTTCTGGTACCCCTATAATTCGGATGTTGGAGTGTTTAAAGATGTCCTGGAGGTTCCTGAGCCTCCTCATTTTTTTAAAATTCTTGTTTCTTCATATTTTTCTGTTTGGTCATTTTTTTCTTCCTTCTGGTCCACTCTTTTGATTTGAATCCCAGTTTCCTTTCCATTACTATTGGTTTCCTGTGCATTTCCCTTCATTTCAATTAGTTTATCCTTCATATGTTCCTCTAATTTGTGACTAAAATCAACCAGTTCTGTGAGCATCCTGATGACCAGTGTTTTGAACTGTGCATCTGAAAGTTTGGCTATTTCTTCATCGCTTAGAGTTATGGGCTCTGGGGCTTTGAGTTCTTCTTGAGCCATTTTGGGTCTGTTCGCGCACATTAAGGATGAGGAGCAGAGCCTTAGTTGTTCACCAGGGTAGGGCTGCCCAGGTCGCTGGGTTGTGACGCTGTAGGTGGGGGCGAGGTCGGAGCAGGGCAATAGCAGTCCCCTCTGCTGCTTTCTGCTGCTTCCTGCTGCTGGGGCCTGTGTGGTCTGTCTCACTGCTCACTCCTTTGCTGATTTATCTGCGCGTGAATGTGTGACCGAGGTCAGCCTGCCGCCTTGCATCCTCACTGGGTCTGCCCGTTGCAACCCCACGCCTGGGATCCGCCAACCGCTGCCCGTCCTCACAGCTGAGTCCCTCTGACCGAGTTTTCCTGTGCAACCCCGCTCCGCCAGCTGCTGATTTCGCCCCTCTTACCAGTCAGGCTGAAGAATTCGTTGTTATCAGACTTCTGAAAAGTTCAATTTTCTTTGTTTTGGCTGTGTTTTCTGTTGCTAAAATTTTGTTGTCTTTAAACTTGGTTGTGTGAGAAAGCACAGTGCTTCCACCTATGCCTCCATCTTGGCGGAAGTCTATTAGTCTTTCTTAAATGCATCTATAGCTCATGTCGATTTCAATATTAATATTAGAAGGGTTTAATATTAGAAGGGTTTTGAGTCTTACTTTAGAAGTTGAGTGATATTTTTGTGACCAGAAAGATGCTGTAAGAACTTAACTCTTGCTTATGTCTTTGAGCCGGTGGTGAACTTGTTGTATTATCCATTGTTTCACTTAAAGTTGTAGTTTCCCAGAACCTATTTCCGATGTTAAGTGAGCCCTTACTGTACTCTGAAACCACAGTAATCTTTACAGCAAGTAGGAGAGTGACTGCGTATCTCCCAGGAAACCTCTGCAATCACAAAATGGACAATCTGTGGTTAAAGCTTAAAGATGTACATTTTGGAAGCATTTATGTCAGTTGGCTGAGAAAAGAAAAAAAAGATGTGCATTTTACATTTGGCTGTTTGTTTTAATATTTTTGGAAAATGTTTTACTTTTTGATTTTAGAAAGAGAAGAAGGAAGAGAGAGGAACATCAATTTGCTGTTTCACTTATCAATGCATTCATTGGTTGCTTGTATGTGCCCTGGCCAGGGATTGAACCTGCAGCCGTGGTGTATCAGGATGATGCTCTAACCAGTAGAGAGCTGCCTGGCCAGGGCTTAACATTTATTTAGTTAGTTAGTTAGTTAGTTAGTTAGTTAGTTAGTTAGTTATATAGAGAAAGAGAGGAAAGGAGGGAGGAGAGAGAAAGATTGATTTGTTGTTCCACTTATTTGCTCATTCATTGGTTGATTCTTGAATATGTCCCAACCAGGGATAGAACCCAAAACCTTGGCCTATGCTCAAACCAACTCGGCTACCTGGCCAGGGCCTGTTTGTTTTAATATTTTGAAGTACTACTCCCCCCCCCATTTTTTCAAGTGGAAGTAATGATCCCAGCAGCTGCCCCGTGTTTACCCAGCTTTTCAGAGCCTGCACTCTGCCCTCTCCCACGTGGCCGAGCCCTGCAGGCAGCCATTGTGAGAGGCCCGGTGTACAACAAAGAAAACAAAGTGCCTCAGGTCAGCATCAGCACTTCTCCCCTCCCCTCCCCCACCAGGAGTGTCTGTGGTCATTCCAGCTCCATTCTCTCTTCCACCGCCCACTCTGAGAGCAGCTGCCCACGCCGAGGGCAGCCCGGTTGGCCCCCAGGATGAAGGGCTCCTTTGTGTGCCCTCAACACTGACCAGAAGGCAGACGGCCGCCACTGTGTTTAGACAAAGGCGCTATGTTTCCTCGCTCCTACTGAAAAACGTGTTTCCTTCTCACTGGTACTCAGCCATAAATAATGGTGAACAGAGATGGAAATGATAAGTGCTGTTTTGTTTCTGGAATCATCTCTTGCACAGCCTAGCTTGCCCTTCAGACTCTCCTAACTGCGAAGACAAATCCACCTGCACAGGAGCCGTTAAATGTCAGCTAGTGCAGTGGGCGTCATCTTTCCTTCTCACCTTATCGGTCTGCAGTAACAATGCCTTTGCAAAGAAATACCACGCAGCAATAGTGGAAGCTAAGGAGGAGGATCCTAGAAGTTATTTAATAAATGTAGAGTTAATGAGTACAGACATTTTTACGTGTCGCACTGTTATGGGTGTGTTTTTTTACATGGGTGTGTAGCACTTTCACCCCAATGGGAGCTCTGACGTCAGCAGCCTTAGATATTTGATCGGTTCAAAAAGTGCCTTGTTTAAGAGAAATTTTGGATCTCTAAATTCAAAATTTTGGGAAAATATGAATAAAGTAAATGTTACCCATAATTCCAATATCTAGAGATACTCGTCAATATATTTTTTAAGATTTTTTAAATTCTAAAAAAAAAAAAGATTTTTTAAATTCTATTTTTAGAGAGAGGGGTAGGGAGGGAGAAAGAAAGAGGGAGAGAAACACCAACGTGTGGTTGCCTCTCATGTGCACCCCCCTCCCACTGGGGAGGATCCTGGCCCACAACTCAGGCATGTGACCTGACTGGGACTTGAACCGGTGACCTTTTAGTTCCGATGCTCAATCCACTGAGCCACACCAGCCAGGGCAAATTTCTGTTCTTCCTTCCAATCTCACCAATAGAAGATTTGTTTTTACCGTAGATCTTAGCCACCTCAGCATATGATTTTTTTTGCCTTTCCTTATTGAGTGTACAGCTTGTCCCTTTTCCCTTAAAAGAAGCACTTGCCGAGGCCCTGGCTGGTGTAGCTCAGTGGATTGAGCGCGGGCCTGCGAACCAGACAATCGAGGTTCGATTCCCAGTCAGGGCACATACAGGGTTGCAGGCCAGTTCCCTGCAGGCCAGTTCCCAGCAGGGGATGCACGAAGGCAACCATACATTGATGTTTCTCTCCCTCTCTCCTTCCCTTCCCCTCTACAGATAAATAAATAAAATCTTTAAAAATAAAAATTTAAAAAAAGAAAAAAAGAAGCACTTTCCAGCTCCTCTTCGGCATGTCCAAGTTGCATCGTCACTACTCCAGCACTCCGAGCCTGTTAGTAAGCAAAAGAAGGCTTTACTTGAACACCAGTGGGACAGTCTTCCCAGTAACTGGGTGACTGATGGCGAGTAGCATGTACAGCGTGGAGATCCTAGGCAAAGGGGTGATTCACGTCACGGGCAGGGCAGAGCAGGACAGGGTGAGACAGACCAAGATTTCCTCACATTCCTCAGCACAACAAACGATTTAAAATGTGTGAATTGTTTATTTCCGGAATTTTTCATTGAATGTTTTTGGACTGCAGTTGTCCACATGTGACTTAAACCACAGAAAGCGGAACCTCGGACAAGGGGGCGCTGCTGTAAAGTGGTAATGCGGACCCTGCCATCCAGGGTCCGGTCAGCAGTCGCTATGATGTCATCAGTGGCCTCCTCCTAAAAGTCAAAATAGCTGGGTCTAAGGGTAGGCTTATTTTTAAAGTTCTTGTTAAATATTGCTAATCTGCCTTCCAGAAAGGTTATTTTCATTGGCCTTCCTCTACGGAGCCTTCCTTCTAAGTCATATATCATGTATCATTCGCTGGAAATTAGTGTTAAAGCTGAATCAGGATCCTTAGAGGGTATAGCCACTCTGATATGGGGCTTCCTTCCACATTTTTTTCTCAATACGTGACCAGACTTGCAGTCTAGACACTTTGATTCTCTTCGACTCCAGTAGAACCAATTGAACGCTATATTCTGTACTTAGAATGCTTCCAGTGACCCTCTATAGTAGGTACTATTGTTAGCTCCATTTTACAAATGAGAAAACTGAGGCAGAGTCGTTTTTTTCAAGGTTATACAGCTAATAAATGGTAAAGCTGGAATTAGAACCCAGGAGGTCTAACCCCAGGATCTGGGCCCCTAACCACAGTGCAACACAAAACACTTAGGTGAATACAAACTGCTCAAAGGCGGGCATAACTAAGCAAGCATCAGGTTTCACTCAGAGCCTTGGGTAAAGGACCTCTCCTAAACTTCAAGGACACCAGCTTCAACTCCTCAGGATTGGGGGACACCCATGAAGACAGTGGCCAGGAATCCAAGGGGGAAGGCAGGTCTGTGGTTTCCGACACCACCTCTGATACCAAATGTGTAACATTTGCCTGTCACCCCGCAGTTCTCCAGTTCTCCCACACCAGCTAGGCGTCTGAGAGTTCAGTTCAGTTCTGACACGTAACTGCCCACAGTTAGCATCAGATTCCACAGGTCCCAGGGCTCAGCTCCCCAAAACTGCCTCCAGTTTAGAAGCCAGCTGCAAACGGGGCGTCCAGGCTGTCCAACTTCTGCCTGGCTGACTGCAGATTCAGGGGTGCCCCACCCGCCTCTCCTCAGGTTTGGCAGTTCTCTGGGTGCAGAAGAGGCAGCTTCCCCGACGGAGATGAGAACGAGTTTTCTCTTTCAGGACTCGCTTGGGTATTGGGAGATGCTGAAGAACTGCCCTTTGATGACGACAAGTTTGACGTTTACACCATTGCCTTTGGGATCCGGAACGTCACCCACGTCGATCGGGTACGAACAGCTGCATCTCAGGATGTTAGTTCCCCCAGAGTGGCTCCACCGTGAACGGAGGAAGATGGAGAAGTTTTTTTTCTGGGTTCGGCCCTTAAATGGAATGACTGTTTCAGAGTCAGGGGCCTCAGTCCTCTAGGTTGGCAGTATTCCTAGTCATAAAATTGGTGAGGATCACAGAGCAGATCCCCATAGAAGCCTTAGTTGCTTTGGATTGGTATTTAAATCTTTGAGACTGTCAGTCTTGCTCAGGTATTTCATCAGTTTCCTCTCACTCAAGAAGCTGTTGATCCTGTGAGTTTGCAGAAGCTCAGGGGCATTTCCGAGGTTGACACAGAGAAAGACACTCTTAACATCATTGTGGCAGGTGGTAGCTAGTCGATTTATGGTTTTCTACAGAGAGAAGGGAATGTCTGGCTCTTAATCTGGCTCTTGATCTGATGCAACTCTTCTTTATTTCTACTTTAAAATTCTGTCCACAGCACTTGAAGACAGTGTTCAAAGCATCAGTTTCATTTTTGTAATATGGGCTCCAGTTACCTGATTCTTCTACTTGGGTTGGGATATCCTTTGTAGTGGTCTTTAGCTTGGTTTCTGTGACCTGTCCTGTGTCTGTAGCCACAGTTTATTATTTATTTTTTTTTAAGATTTTATTTTTATCTATTTTTAGAGAGAGGGGAAGGGAGGGAGAAAGAGAGGGAGAGTTGTGGTTGCCTCTCCCGTGGCCCCCACTGGGGACAGAAGCTAAAGCTGCCTCGGCCTCGCGGAGTTGCGTGAGTCTGCTGAGGAATGTTCTTTTGTTCCTTTTCTCACTCAGGCACTCCAGGAAGCCCATCGAGTCCTGAAACCAGGAGGACGGTTTCTCTGCCTGGAGTTTAGCCAAGTCAACAATCCCCTTGTGTCCAGGTTGGCATTGTTAACAGGGCATGGTTCTCATCGTTCAGCCAAGGATTTCCGTCCCAGCATGGATAGAAAGTAGCCAGTAAGCAGTAAGCATGAACCTCATAGTTCATTCCCAGACTCCCCGAGGGATAGTACCCCCTCAGATGTCAGCCACTCCTGAAGAACCTTGTCTAGGCCAGAAGGGCCTCAAACCAGCAACCAGAGGCTGCAGTCCGTCCACAGATTTCTGTGTGACACCTGGCATCTTAAAAAGTTAACTTAGGTGTCCATATTTAGAGAACAGAAAAGTCTACATAATCTGGATTTCCAGCTTCACTTGAGAAATCGATAATAGGGCAACCCTGAGTAAGCCATATTCCTACATGGCCGTGGTCAGAGCTGAGAGGTAAGTACCCCTTCTCCACTTCTGTGGTACTTCCTAACCGGACCTGTGACCGTGTCCTCACTACTCCCTACTGCTGTTGCACCTGGCTCACTTCACTTGTTTCAGTTACTTGCTTGACCCCTATAGGCATTAGAGTTTATGACCCCAGGCTTAGGCCTTCTTGCTTCTTACCGAGGGCCATGTTCTAACCTTAATCTTTGGCCTTTTTGTTTAGGCTCTATGACCTCTATAGCTTCCAGGTCATTCCTGTCCTGGGAGAAGTGATTGCAGGAGACTGGAAGTCCTACCAGTACCTTGTGGAGAGTATTCGACAGTTCCCATGTCAGGTATAAAACTTCTGTAGCTTACGACAAAGGCCCTAAAGGTGACATCCCAGTGACCCTTGCTGTGTCTCCCTCTGTGTTTTAGGAGGAGTTCAAGGAGATGATAGAAGATGCAGGCTTTCAGAAGGTGACTTACGAAAGTCTGACATCAGGCATTGTGGCCATTCATTCTGGCTTCAAACTCTTAACTCCTTTACAGTCCTAGAGCGTGAACCACTCACATCCTGTCACGAGGCTGCAGCAGAAGGATAATCAGGCTGGTGAGACCAGCAACAGAACGTCCCCGCCTAGGGGTATGTGCCTCGGACTCACTTCTGATATGACCAGTCTCAAAGTGGAAGAAACAAATTCCTGTCACTTTATTTCACCTTTCATCAGGAACCGCTTCAGGCCTTCTCCCTGAGGTATTATTGTGTCTGTGTTTTTTGCCCAGTTCCTGCTATTTTTTTCTCAGCTGTGCAGTGCGTGGTGTAGGTAAAACCAGCACTAAGGCGGTTTTGAAGCGTGTTTGTAGTTTCTCTGCTGGCACTGACTTCCAGAGGGACAGTGAATCATTGGAATCTAATGATTTGAACCAGAAACCTTCCTAACTGTACCTGAGTCAACCTTTCATCCTAGGACTAGTTGAAGGACAAAAGCCAAGGCCCATCAGAGGGCTGACGACCGCAACCAGAATTATGTACTGAACCACTAAATGAGTTTACGGCTTGTTTGGTATTTGTGACTTATTTTTTCCTGAGGGAAATACATTTGTCATCATTCATTCAGTGCTCTTCTTTCTACCAAAGCCACTGTTGTACCCTCCGTGCCCGTCAGGAAGAAAGCAACTCAACAACTCCTCGAAAGAATAAATGTACCGGCAAACTCCTACGATTTAGTCTTATATAAAGAGCTTCTTTGTCAGAATACATTTGAAGAAAGGCTTTTAAAGCAAAAAAAGTTTTAAAACTATTTAGCCTAAACCCCTCCAGCCCTCAGGGCTCTTGTATCCTTAATACAGTAATTGGCGTTAAAATGAGGCATGTTTTGAATGTACATAGAGCTTAAGGTTTTTGTGGGGCCTTGCTAAGTAAGAAATTGCATAAGCCAACCTGTGAGTTGCCTGGCAGTTTGTTCATTGTAGATTAGCTTAGTCCAGGGCTATTTGAAAAGGCTTCCTGTATGGTGCCTCTTGTCCCAGCACAGTAGGGGTCATTTATGTGCCTTCACTCTTAAGATCTTGCCCTGTCACTGGTAAGCATTCAGATATAGCAATCTATATGCAACTAACTGAAAGACAGCAACCAGGAGCATTTAATAAAATGCTAAGCCTTAGGAAGACTTCAGCTTGCTTTTTTTTTTCCAGCTAGCTGGTGCCATGGGCCTTTGACATTAACAAGGAGCAGGCACTGGAAGGAACTTTGTGAACCATCAACCCAATTTTATCTTCACAGCAATGTGGTTTCCTCACATTTGAATCAAAAAATAAATTAAAAGCTGCCACTTCCTGGCAGCAGATAAGGGCCTAATCAAGTCAGAACCCCCAATGTCCAGCTGCTGGTATTTACATGAACAGATTGAAAATGTTCCTGGTCCTAAAATAGCTCAACTTCACTAGGACTCCTAAAACCCCAAGTACCAGTAAAGAAAAACAAAATCTTCCAAGGATGTTACAGATCTAATGCTGCTCTTAAGATGGAGCATCACCTATCAATTCAAGTCTATCATCCCTTCTAGGTAGCAATAATCTGGCTGTTCAGAAATCCTAATTGTAGCTCAGAAGTCCAAGAGCTAAAACAAAAATCCATACTTCACGTGAATACTGAGCATAGGGTAACTAGGAAGCCTGGCCCTCTTACAACTTCCCAAGATGGTTGTGGATGGTTTCAGCCTCTCATTTCCTTTCTACCTGTAAGACGAGTCTGCTGTATTTGCTTGTCTTAAAAGACTTGTCTTCCTAAAACTGATAGCAGGAAACCTTTAATGAAGACTAACCAGCTTTAATTGGGTCTCTTAATGACAACCTCAGCTCACATTTGTTCATTGGGTTTCTGACTGCAGCTAAAGCACAGCACAGCAGGTTCACACATTTAAATTCCTGCAAAGACTTCTGTAAGAGTCACATGGAGGGCTGCTGCTCATTTCTCCTTTTAAAACCACCTTTCATCTTTGCAGTATCCTTTTGGGGCCTGGAAAGGGAGTGGGGATAGCCGGGAGAGACCAAATTTCTCATTAGCCCAGCTTAGCGTATTTCCATTCCACAGCCATAGACAGCTTATCTAAAGGAGTTCTGTGACACATTCATCACCACAACCACTTGAGGCCTAAGGCCCAGAACATTCTATAGCAACATTTTTTAATGAGCACTTAAGGACAGCATTTATTAGTTTAGGTATAAGGATTTAGAAATCCAGAAATTTCTCTGCCATGCACTTCTGAGTTTTCTTCTGCCATGCATGACAGTTGCAGATGGGTTGAGAATGAGACTTGAGAGCACTGAATAGGTTAGTGTACCATAGCCCACAGAAGCTTACTTCAGGGACCCACTAACCTAAATGGCTATGGACCACCTTAAGCTAGAGATTAGTTGAACAAATTATAACTAACACAAAGTTCTTCAACAGATTTATTTGGGGGGGAAAGGAATGGATTTTGAGGAGGAAGAACATGGAGCAGAGAGGTATGGAATAGAAAATAAATACAAATGTAAGCTGTTTTGCTAATTGTTTTATAACCACAACAAATGAGTACAGAGAATGCCCTGTACAAAACAACATGATAAAGGTTCAAGATCAAGGTGTTCCTTTAGGCAAGGCTGAAGATTTCAGTCTCTGGTATTTGGAATTTAGGCTGCAATCCTCGTTTTTGGATGGATCACTGGGGGTGTGGTGCAGTTCACTTTAACCAGATTTGAACAGAAGAATGGCCACTTGGCCCAGGTAGAAGTAGATGAAGTGTTTGGTTTCATGTGTCACGTAACTACCGAAGTTCCTCCCCACGATGCAGTGCCATGTGGGGTTGTACTTCTTGTCAAATTCCTAGTGGGGGAAGGAAGAGAAAAAGAACACTAGAATTTTAGTGGTAAACCAGAAGTCAGAGTTTGCCTCCTGGATAGGCAGAGCTTGCAGGGGTAAAAATGAGGAACGTTAGCATCTGCAGATTCTTAGAATGAAAGAATGTTCCCCAGCTCCAAGTCGCCTACATAGTGCATTAATGCAAACATACTTGCAGTCTGAGCTAAGCTGGGAACCGGCTGAGATGTAAAAAGCAGAAAGGGCAGCCTCAAAGACTGGGCACTTTGTTACCGTGGTAATTCCACCTTCATAACTTCTGTAATATTCACTGGTAGGTGACATCAACAATTCTAGTTTATCTTGTTCTCGTGTGTAAACAGAACTGAATAGTCCTCCTACTGTATGTCAGTCATGCACCCCCCAAATCCCAGAAAACGGATTTTAGCCCAGAGTACCCCATTATAGTTCATTCCTTGACTGCACTCCAGTATCCTTGATAACAAAAGACTTCAACAAGGACAAAGTCTCAATTAGCATATAGACCACTGTGGATCAAAATTTTAATTTAAGGAGACAAGACACTTGGCACTCCAGTGCTCCTATAAAAAGAATGTGGGGAGCAGAATCTAACAGCCACCTGGTCAAATTTTATCCTTAATTACCATTTAAATAGCCTTCCTTTTCACATCTATCTTAAGGCTGATATTCTGCAGGAACACTATTTTCCCCTCTCCCAGAAGCTCAGGGACTAACTAGAATGCCCATGTTAATTTCTTCACTAGGTTACTTTATATAGGGGCCACAACTAATCCTTATCTATAAAATTATTCAAGTCTGTGATTTGGCTCCTCTTATATTGTATGCAGCATTAACCTCTTTTAGATCAAGAAGAACATTCTTATAAGCTATAGGAATGCACTGCTGCGTTTGTCAAAAAAAAGGTATTTCTTTCTATTTCACCTAAAGTCTTTCATCTTCCCGTTCTCAACTGCAACCCTCTCACGACTTAGGCTGCCAGCTTCCTTCCTTTCCAGAAAACATAGCTGGGGCAGCTGGCAGTTCTGACAGCTGTCTACAGATTGTCATTTACCAAGCCCCATCCTAGCACCCCAACTACCACTACCACCTACTTTCTCTCAACTGGCGGCTAAACTCCCCACTGGAAGGCTGGCAAGATCTCCCTCTGGCCTGGCTGGAAACACCCACGCACTCCTCCCTCCCGAACACCCAGATGGATCTTCGGCGCAGGAATCGTGCAGGAACGGGGAACCGCTGCTCCCCGATCCTGGAAACCGTTGCTAGGTGGCGCTTTCTCCGTCAGAGCTGGGTAATAAATTAAAAAAAAAAAAAAAAAAACTTGGGGCACCGAGATCCTGGTCTTCCCAAGAGGAGCGCAAAATTCACTTGCGTTGTTTCTGGAAACCTCTACACACGAGCTGCCCTGCGTGCCCTCCAGGATCTCTACTAGGCGCTTTAGGGATGCATAATCCTGGAGAGGAAACTAAGTTGTGACTTGTTCCCGCTGAAAGGCATCAGCCTCAGCCCCCCGCCAGCGCCCCATCTTTACCTTCTTAATATGCGCCGCAATATCCTTCTCTATGTTATATTTCTCCAACGCCTGAGTAGCACATTCCACGGAGTCCTGTTGCATCTCCTCCGACATATCGGCATTTTTGATCACCGCCTTTCGGTCGCACATGGTTACCTGGAGGGCGGGGGGGGGGGCAAGACAAAGGGTGAGGAGTTGGGGTGCGGAATGTGTCTGCAAAACGACACCTATCCCTTGCCCGTTCCCCGCTGTCCCGGGATGACGCCCCCCAGACCACTTCTCAGGGAGCGTGGTCCACACAGACCTAACCGCGGGAGAACTCTGGTAAGGGACAAAACACGGTAGCAAAGTCCCCCGGAGCCCTAAGATTCTCACAGAGGAGGTGATGCTGGCCAATTGCCACGGTCTCCTGGGGGAGGGGCTGGCGAAGCTCACACCTGGCAGGAGAAGCCGTCGCTACTGAAGCAGTGGCGCATCTAAGGAGCACCACACCAGGCACCGCCGCCTAGTGCCTAGGCCCCGCCCTGCTCCTGAAGGCCCGCCCTCACAGAACATTCCTACTGGCTTGATGCAACCCCTTGGGCTCTCCCATTGGTCCATGGGCTCAATGGTTCCCGCAGGATCTTTCTCCTGCATTTTGTTGCAGACCACAATGCACTGCTCGTGGCGTCGGTTGCCCCGGTGATGGGCAGCACGCCGTGAGGCCCACACACCACGAAGGAGGAGTTGGGGCGCGCTATCTAGAACACCGAACGGCTAGAGGGATGCGAGGGAAGGTTCTGCGCAAGCCAGGAAAGTAATTCCAAATTCACCGACATTGTCCCAAGATTTGTTCTCGAATGATAGACAGTCGGGTTTACCCCAGGTCGGAAGGATATACGGATTCTGACTGAGTAGGCCAGTCGCTTCACTGAAAGGGAATCTCTAAAGCCTGGTCAGTTGCCCAGGCAAACAGACTAGTGCAGTGGCAGAAGAGGGAATCTCGGCTTGATTTAATGCTCTACTGCCTCATTCTTGGATTATTTTTTAATTTTTTTGCAAGGGACCTCAGTTTTTTGTTTTGGTTTGGTTTGTTTTGGGTGTTTTTTGTTGTCGTTGTTGTTGTTTTTGCTTTGGGTCCCGCAAGTTATGTAGCCTGTCCTCCTTAGAAATATCAGAGAGAGATTCCTTAGGAATAAGAGGGTTTCCTTATGAATTAAGGAATTACCCCCCCCCCTCAGAATTGGGTCTTCCTGCTGGGCAATTCAGACCTCCTTTAAAGGGGGGGGGGGCACGCTTGGGCGGATTTGGGTGTGTGTACCCAGGGTGCGGCATCTTGCTCCGATGAAGCAGTCTTTCCTGTGTGGGAGTTTCTTGGTTGAGGATTTATCTCTAAGGCTGAGGTGCCCTAATGATTAGAAAGGCATCCCTCAGAGATACTTCCTCTGGTATAGAGAGGCTACCCTAACCACTAAGTGGTTAAAAAAGCAAGGTCTTGGGAGGTTAGGGAGCAGGGTCGGCTCTGGATTTAAATCCCTGCACTCTCATTTAAATTTCATTTCCTTACCTGTAAAAGGGAGGTAATTATAACAGGAAATACATCATAAGCATGTTGGGAGTATTAAATAAAGTAATGCCTTTGAAGCTCTCAACATCATGTGGCATATAGGAATCAGTGAATCTTATTAATAACTACCAGTTTATGGAACTGTCCCGAGGGTCACAGCAAGGTTTTTAACCAACCCTTAGATGCCTATAATGTGTTTTTGAATTTCCATAAAGTCATCGGGTTA